AGGGACTGCACAAGAGAAACAATGACCCGATAAATCACAATTGATTTTGTTCTGTAGGCTAAACTTTGATTATATGTTCATATACAGGCCTACAGACAGTTTTTGAGCTGTAAAAACCTAAGAGTTAGATCTAGACATATACACATTTATTAAATATTCTTGAATGGTGAATGCTTTAAACAAAGAAATCACAATGGGTCAACTCAATGATAGTTATTAGTATAATGTATTATTATATTATGAATCTCTTCATCTATTAATGAAACATTGATTAAAAGTTTTTTTTTTTTATTTCTGAAATATATATATATTTTTTTTATTTGTTTGGGGAAGCATAAAGCAAAAATTTGTAGTTAAGTAGTTAAGTAGGCTAAATCTTTCAAAGATTTTGTCAAAATATTATTTTTGTCCACCGAAAAAAATCAAAACCATGTGACATAACAAACATGAATAAATGAGGAAAAAAAAACAGGAAATTAAAATATTTAAATAAACCATACATTTTTACTCTCTCTCTCTCTCTCTCTCTCTCTCTCTCTCTCTCTCTCTCTTCTCTCTCTCTCTCTCTCTCTCTATATATATATATATATATATACTGTATATATATATATGTAAAAAAAAAAACTTTTTCAAAATAATGATTAAGATGTGTTAATCTAATGACTAAAATGCATTAGGCATATATATATACAGTATATACAGTATATATATATATATATATAAAGCTTAATTAAATTTAAACTTTTATTGAAAGTGAAAACCGTATGATTTGCAACAATGTGATTTAAACCAGATTTTTTTCTCTATCATGGATATACTGTATGTCATTGTCCCCAAAACAAACCACCAATCCTAATGCACAACTCTTTACTGATTAGCTAGGAGATGTCACATGGCTCATATGGCTTGACACTCATATGAGATTGAGATCACAAATATTACAAACATTAAAGGCTGTGAATGTCCACCTTAGGTAAATCCATTTAGACTCGGCTCCTTCTTCAACACTGCTAAATTTCCAGGAACAAATGTACGGATGGCAGTGTAAAATGATTTTATTACTTGGAAGCTCCGCTCCGGTGACCCCTAGATGGTGAGGCCTCATGGAAATGACTGTGATTTGACAAATAGCTCAACATTACAGTGTATAATTGTCCATTAGTGAGAGAGTTGGCTGAGAGTGTGTTAGAGGATGTGGCCTGCCAACGCTGCTCCTCAGAGAGAACGGCTAAGGCTTTGCGGATCCATGATTTTCCTCCGCAGCTTCATAAAACAATTACAGTCAGATTTAAAAATCATTTTGGTTCATATCGATAAAGTTTATTATCATTAAATAAAACTAAACAAAACTAAAATTGTTTCTTGAAATATAATTAATTTGAACTGAAACACACACAGAAAAATATATAGTATATAAAAAAACATTAAACATTTTTATTTTATTTAAATTTATTATAAATCACATTCCTTTAGGAAGTTTAGTTGGCATTTGACTTGGTTTCTGTTACTGTTTCCTGTCCTGTGTGCCATTTTTGTAGTCCTTTGTAGTTTTTCTAATTGATTAGTCTTGTTTGACTATCTAGTACTTAAAGCAGAACTAAGTAACTTTTTTTACCTTAACTGAACAGCTTTGGAGTCATTGTAATGTTAATATTACTGATTTCGTGTTGAATGGTGATCATCTCGCACCCCCCTGGTGCCTGTGAGCCGCAAAACCACCCTTGCAACTTTGGGCCGCGGCTCGCCGGCCTCAGTGTTAGGAAGTATCGTGAGATTTCAGGTCTTGCGAGGTAACGAATTGCTTTACGGCACTATACGCGCACACGCATGCGTACACCCCCCCGGCCATCCAGGAGCCGGCTAGCTATAAGAAAAAGGTAACGCTAGATATTGAATTCTTCAAGTTTTCGTGATGGCTGATGTAAAAGAAGAAGAAGACAGCTCGGAAGTGTTTATCAGAGAAACAAAGAAGAGAAACGGACCGGCTTTTTCAGAATAGAGAGAACTGAAAGAAAGCGAAGCCTGCAAAACCGATGCTGACCTGGCCTTCTTGCTGTTGCACTTGTAAGTATCTTTATAATAAACTGTGTTTAATGTTTGTATTTCTTGTAATTGTGACCTCGGGAGTCGGGATGTTTGCTATTGTCTGTTTTTTTTTATTATTATATTATGCTCGCTGTCTGTTACCGGCTTACTAGTACGTTAGATACTGTAACTTAGATGTTAGCATTTTCATTAGCAAACAAACTTGCTTGTTTTCTGTAAGTAAGTGTTTTGTCCGTTCCTCTATCAGGGTTTATTTGTGTTTCTCAGATCGCCTATAAATCGATATGAAATTATGCATTAGTTTAGCTTGTCGTCAGCCTCAGAATTAGTAACGTTATACTGTGCTGCTGACTTGATAATGCATAAACCGACACGAGAGCTGCTAGCTAATAATGCAACTTTTTTATATTTATTTACCCACATTTACACAAACAGAACTATAAGTAAACGAGAAATTGCATTGCAACTTCACACATGCAACTCCATCTGTGCTATTTTGACCTTGTCTATAAATGATATGTTGATAAAAGATTGATACATTTTCTTTTTCCTTTTTAGCTACAAGCGTTGGCAAGTGTTATCAACTCCGAGGCACCCCAGACCACCAGTACCACCGGTCTCAAGCTTCAATAATAAAATAAACAAACTTGTAATAAACAAATTAAACGTGTTTGACTTTCTTTGGTCAATCGTTACGATAGACAACTCGGATCACCAGAAAAATGATGAATGTAACGTAACATGTATTTTGATAATGCATAATCAAAGTAGCTATAGCTGTAGGCTAAACTAAAAATAAATAAATAGCGGAAATATTTCTTATAGTATTATTGATTTTTAACCATAATGTTACTGATAACGTTTGGTAACACAATAAAAATATACACTATCTCAACATTTGAATAATATTGTTCTGAGAATCATACCGCAGTGGATATGGCTCGGGCGTCAGTTTGGTTTGAAATGTGCTGGGGACAGAGACGCATTCGGAAGGGCATTTTCAAAAGTGCTGGGTAACGCATTCATTCTTTTTTCTCTTTCGAGTAGGTAATGTTTTGAACGACGATGTCCATAGCTTCCTGATGCACATAAATAAAAATGAGCACAATACAGTGATGGTCCGGCCAGAGGTTCCGCACTCGAATAGTTTTTATTTCCCCCTCATCAAAACCAATAATGTTTATCAGTGGTTGAATTGATATAATGTTTATCAGTGGTTTTATATGTTTTGATGAGTGGGGGAAAATATACGAGAGAGGAATTAGAAACCATGAGAAAAAGGGACACGTTTGTGTGCATTTTTATTTGTGATTTCACCGGAAAGAATCTCCGCAACGGATTGAAGCGCGTTTCTGAGAGAAGCCAACACATTTCAGTGCTAGATCGCCTGTTATTTAACAAACAAATGAAACGAATGCTGTTAACTGGAGATGTTTTATTTGCATTGGTACATCTGTGCCGCGAGATGTTTCAAAAGTGGTGGGGACAAAATCCGTTTGTTCGCCGGCTTCTCTGAAAACAAATTCACATGGCCTGCCTGAACGAGATGGGAGGGGGAGTTGACAACGAGTTTACGACAGTTTTCTCATGTATATATACTCCGAAACTGTAGGGGGAGCTCGAGAGAGAAACCTGCGAGAAAACAGCAAAGAAGTTTCCAGTCTTACTGAGCGCTGCTTTAAAACCCCATAAGACATTTGTGAATAAATCGTGGTTTCCATCCAATGTGTTCAAGAGAACAAAATCGTCACTTCCAAGGAAACCGGTGCAAAATATCTGTATAAAAATGGAAGTTTCTGCAACCAGGGAAGCCACAGTGGCTCTTTTATGCATACTATGTTTGGAAACGCAATCAAATTAGACACTTCTGGGAGGTCAATGTACCAGATCTTTTAGGAGATGTTTTGATGACTCAAAAAACAAACACAAAATTTGAGATGTTGTGTAATGAAATTGGCCTGCCGGTTAGTCCAGTTGTCCAATCACACGATCTGTGTAGTTGCACATCATATTCCGTAAATGTGTTTCCATCATAGTGTATGCATATGTCGTCTTATCGGGTAAAAAAACTGATCTTCCTCAATTGGGCACACATGGGTTTTTTTCTGCACATTTTTAAGATTTAAGGCCAGTTCACACCGGGACGAATTTCGTGTGTGATATTCGTAGACGTTTAACGCCTTGTGACTTAACAAAGGGTGCCAATATGAGTGTACAAACCAACGCGTAAAACGGCACACGTAATAACGCCATTTTTTAAAAAACGCCTCGGGTTCGTTTTTTTTTTTGTAAGACGCGCCGCGTCAAAAACTATCCGACCAATAAGATTGGTGCTTTTGCTCATGTGTTTGGAGCTTCTAAAGTTACAGTAAAACACAACTTGGGGGCGCTCAAACACAAAACGGTCTTGCTGAGCACACATATGGAACAGAGAAGAAGATATACGCCAAGTAGCGTCGGCGTCTACACAGCCAAGAAGAAATAAGACGAGGAAGACGCGAGGCAAGATGAATGTAGAGCTGCTGTTCTCGTTGGTGTTAGAACATAAAGAACTAAATGACAAACGCGACAGCGACTACAAACATCTCGATAAAAGAGGACTGTATGGAGTGGTATTGCAGAGCAAATGGGCGCCATCTAATGTCAGGGAATGGATTTGCATGTTCACTCGGCTAATCGTCAGCGGAAATCGCTTCGGTGTGAACACACAAAACGCGTTGAAAAACACTGGCGATTAACGTGTGCCGATATTGTGTACGGCCTTCCATCCAGCATTTTTTTAGGCAGAGTCTCAAAATTTGCATAAAGATAAGGTGGAAACATAGCTAATGATTCCCTCGCAAATTAGAACTTTGCATAGAACTAAGTCTACAAAATATCCTAAATCTATTTCCATGACATTTCCAAGTGTGAAAAACACAATTTTGAAATCCCCTGCTCCGTGTGTGCAGTACCTGTGATGGCGTGGTGAGAGAAGGCCTCCACGTAGGTCAGGTAGTTGTGGGGACAGTGTTTCTTCAGCCACTTACAGACGTCCTGCTGGGTCCATAGCACCACTGGTTTGCATAAGCTGGAGAGCGTTGGGCTGGTGTGGTACACAGTGAAGGCCTCTCCTGGCTGGATCTATGGAGCAAGGAAACATCTTAAACAACTTATCAGCGTATTAGTGTGCATGCTAATCTCCAGTCCATATATGCTAACCAGGAAACACTCCCGCCAGGCTTTAAAACTCGAAAAAAGTATCTTCAACACTAAAAACAACAACAACTACAGATTGGATTAGTAGGCGTGAAGAATGTGGAAAAATGTTTTGCTTTCATAACTTCAGGGTGTACTTACAGGCTACGTTTTTCTTTAAAAGCGCTAATTAAAACAACTAGCGCTGCACGCTTCTGTGTAAACAACGCTCTTCTAATTACACGCACACTTTGTTCTGACTGCCGCAATGAGCAGAAAGATTCATCAAAACACACTTTTTATGGTTCTCTGTTGCAGATTCTTGCACAGCGGGAGCTGTAATAAAAAACTTTTACTAGGATATATTACGCTTGTGTGAGAACATGATGAAACGCAGTGTTAGCTTGTGTAAACTGTGTGAGTAAACACTCACATGGCCTCTCAGTTTGTCATCCTGATTTGTTTAATCGTGACTACTACACTGTATAAAAGTTTAAAACTTACATTGTGGGGAATGCCATTTGCAAAGAAAACATCAATAACTCACAATGTCTTATTTCTAAGAGCTGTCGAAGTTAAATAGCAAATGATGGAAATATCTCCGTAAAGCCTAAAATGGGAACATTTTTACAATTTTAAATTTTAATCTCAGTTGCCACTCTATATCTTCCAATAATATAAGTAAGATGATATTTAAATGCTTAGTTTTTACTAACAACAACTATGAAATGTTATGATTGTAATGTTAATGATGGTTAAAATCTGTTAAAATAAACATTCCTCAAAAGCCTGATGGATTATATTTGAGACTCACATTTTAACATGATTTTTCTAAAAAAAAAAATGATGTATGAATAATCAAATAAACCTAACTTGCTTCAGTCCAGTACGTGTTCATCTTGAAATATTAATAACAATATAAAAGCTATTGTTTACTTTATAAAAACTGAAGAGGGACGTTTTTACTAAATAAACTATTAATCAGTAGATTTTGTGGAACAGGTTTATCAAAATGAACAAAACTTCTTCCGAGTCATTTGGTTCATTCAACGAACGAAACGAACAAATAAACTCGGAAAAAGATTCATTCATTTCGATGAACGAGTTTAAACAGGAGAGTCACAAACGTGCATCGCAGTACAGAGCAAGGCGACCATTTGAGCTTATAAAACTTAAACTTTGTTATTTATTTATTAAATGAGCGATCGTTTCGCTTGATAAGACCGTTATTCATCGTCTGGAATCGTTTAAAGCCCTTTGAACAGTTTGCATTGAAACTGACTTTTGAAGTCATTGAAGTCCATTATATGGAGAAAAATGCTGGAATGTTTTTTATCAAAAACCTTAATTTTTTTTTCGACTGAAGAAAGAAAGACATGGACATCTTGGATGACATGGGGGTGAGTAAATTATCAGCAAAAGTTTTTTCAATAGTGAACTACTCCTTTAACTATGAGTTTTGCCACTAAACTCCTAATTACTGCTTATTAATAGTTAGTAAGGCAGTTATTAAGAGAAGTTATTGGGTGATTAAGGTATGTACAATATGGTCATGCAGAATAAGGCATTAATATGTGCTTTATAAGTACTAATAAACAGCCAATATCCTAGAAATATGCATGCTAATAAAGAAAAAACTAGTTAACAGTGAGAATTAAAGCCTATAAAGTGTTACCCCTTATTTAATAGGAAAAACTGAACATATTAATCTGAAAGCACTGAATTATAAAGGTGTTTTCCACATTAACTGGTGCTCTGTGAAATTTTTGAAATCGATGCGATCGACTTTTGCTTGAGGGTGAAAATGTTTCCCATGCAAATTTTGCAAGAATTCTACATGCTGACTGTGAGCTGTGCTTCATATTTCACATACTGACAACAACAGACAATGAACCAAAGTTTCGCACTTGTAAATGCACCTGTACTCAAGAAGACAGTGTGTATTTCTAATAAAAGGACTATATTGTCAGTCAGAATGATGGCAACTCTTGTAGCCAAGAAAGTATTTGTTGTCAAGAGCTGCAGGTCAAACATTAATCAACACCTAATGATAAAAGCCCATTTTCACTCAAGAAACATACAGAAAGAGACAGGTATTGACTTTAGTGGCAGACAGAACAAAACAGGGGGAAAAGAGAGTGAAAAATGACTGATTCGGACATGAACATTTCATTTTCTGAGTAAGTGAAAGATGGCTCAACATACAGACGCGCACCTGTGGAAAAGGCCGATTCAGTTTGAGAAAAAAAGAAAGTCAAACACAGAGACGAAGCAAATGAAAGAAAAGCAAGGATTTAAATGACAGAATACAAGAGAAGTCATGAAATCCTATGCATATTATTTCTCTGTTTAAAATGATTCATATTTCTGCTGGTACTTTCCATGAACAGGGCAAAACGGGATAGTTCACTCAAAAAATGAAAAGTCTATCATCATTAATAATAATAATAATAATATATTTATTTTTTATAGCACCTTTCAAGAACCCAAGGTCGCTTCACAAAATAATACAAACAGTTGACAGACAAGAGACAGGCAATCTGCTAGTTAACAATTAAACCAGCATAAAAGCAGATGGAGACAACAATAATGAATGGATTAGATAGGCAAAGAAAACATACATTTTGATAGAGAAAGCATGCAACATGATGAAGTGAAAAAGTGGAGGACAGAGAGATAGCGAGACACTCATGTTGTTCGAAAAGGTTTAAAAGAAAGGTTTCAAATGGCACGAAGGTGAGTAAATGAAGTAGTGTCCCTTTAAATGAACATCGAAATTTGAAAAATCTAAAAAATGATAATAGATTTACATAATAAATTGATTTAAATGGAAATTTCTGACCCAATTGGCAGATTTTTGTTTCTCGTGTTAAGCTTAAACCCACTTGATTTTGATTGTTTTTGATTTCAACTCATATTATGTAATTTTGCATATGAAATAGGGGGGGTTGATTGCGATTTCACTTTTTTCATTTTAAATAGTGTGTAATGTTGCTGTTGGTGCATGAACAGTATCTGCAAATTTGCAGCTCTGAAAGTTCAGTGTAAGCAGAGATATCGTCTTTTAAAAATCAGGAAGTATATTGCCTACAAAAACGACTCGATTGGGACTACAGCTTGGTTTTAGACGTCACTAACACGGGGCATTAACCTTCTGGACAACGTGAGCGACAGTTTGGCAAATCACACCACACCGGCCCAAACTAACCAATCTGAGCCCACTGCCTGTTTCTGAGGGAGTTCGAGAACAGATGAGAGTGCGGATGACAATAAAGGTGAAGTTTATGAAAAATAAGACTTTTAAAAAAAAGAAAAACCACGAATACATGTTATATTGCACCCCATAAACACAATCATGCCCCCCCCCCCCCCCCCCTTAAGAATGTTACCTTTAAACATTTGTACTGGAAAACAAGGCAACAATACTATGAAGGTAGATTTGTGTCTTTATTATTCAATCAAAAAAAATGTTGCTTCAATCAAAAAAAATATTTTCAATTAAAAAAACCTTCACTTCAATGAAAAAAAAACTTTTCAATCAAAGAAAAAAAGTATTTGAATCCAAAAATATATTTGAGACTCAAAAAAATACATTTGAACACTGCTTTTCTTTGATTGAAAATGTTTTCTTTGATAGAAGTCTGGTTTTTTTTGTTTAAAGCAACCTTTTTAATTAAAGTAACATTGTTTTTTGATTGGACCATATAATGGGTAGGACATTTGTGTCTTTATCATTCAATCAAAAAAGAAGTTGCTTCAAACAAACAAACAACAGAATCAATACAAAAGTCACTTCAATGAAAAGATAAACATTTTCAAATATAGAAAATCATTTTTGAATGCAAATAAAATATTTGAGACTCCAAAAATTGCATTTGAACACCTTTTGTTTTAATTGAAAATGTTCTCTTTGATTGAAGTAATCTTTTTTGTGTTTGGGCCATACATGGGTAGGACATTTGTGTCTTAATCATTTAATTCCAAAAAAGTTGTTTTCAATCAAAGAAAAAACTGTTCAAAAGCAAAAAAAAAAAAAAAATTATTTACGTCGTGAATAAAAAAAGTATTGAAGAGAATGTGTTTTTTTCGTTGTTTTCGTTTTTTATTTGAAGTGAAAAAAAATAGAAGTTCAAATTGTTTTGATTGAATAATTAATTTTTTTTGAAGTGCAAAAAGTTTTGAAGTTCAATTTTTTTTGATTGAATCATTTTGACACAAACGTTCCGCAGTGGGCGGGTGCTTCTCTGTTGGTCAGACATGTTTGATTGACAAGTGTCTACACCAACGACATCTTTCTGACAAAGAAGTCATGTTCGCCACTCGCCAGCAAGTTTTTATCCTTACAGGATATTATCTATTTATCATTTGATCTTGTGGCTCTAAGCATCGCGCCAGCCACACAGCCACACGGTCTCTCACTGTTTACTATCAGAAACTCCGATTAATACACGAGAGCACACAGACAGTGTTGTCCTGCTCTTGTGTACGGGCGTCAGTTTGGTTTGGTTTGAAATGTGCTGGGGGACGGAGAGACGTATTCGGAAGAGCATTTTCAAAAGTGCTGGGTACAATGACGCATTCATTATTTTTTTTCTCGGCGCCGCGAGATGTTTCAAAAGTGGTGGGTACAAAATCGACCCTGGCAAAAAGTGGTGGGGACATGCATACATATCTATGGGGACATGTCCCCCCCGCCCCCCCGTAAATTACGCCTATGATTTTATCTTATAATTTATCTTTTTGTCCGTATTGGAGCGCGTCTCATGGCTCTTACTAAGCGACCTGCCACAAGATCTCTCACTGTTTACGTGAACCAGACACTCTGATAGCATATAAAGTGCAATCCATCTCTTATTTACTTTTTTTTACATATTATCTTATATTTTATTCGCTCTTTTGCCCGTATTGGAGCGCATCTCGTGGCTCTTAAGCGTCGGGCCAGCCAC